TCTTCTAAAAAAGTAAGAATTTAAAATTTCTCATATTTAATTTTCTTATTTCACTTATATATTTTATCTTATATCTTCATTCTTTTAATTATTAAATATTTACAAATGCTTTTAAAATTATCAAATATTATCTAATATTAATTTTTAAAATTATTAAATATTTTTAAATTAGTTAATATTTATTTTTATAAAATTTAATTTAAAAATATCAATATATGAATATATTTTTAAAATTAATTTTATCATGGTGAAATCAAATTACCACACCTAAACTAAAAATTTAAAAAATTTGAAATTGATTTATCCAAACAAAATATTTCAAGAATGATAGAAATTGAAATTAAAATAATTAAAATACAAAAAATTTTAAATTTCTTAAATTTGTAAAGTTTTTCATCCAAACACACCATAAAGTAATGTAAGAAGGATTTCATTACTTTTTGATTGCATGAATGTGTAACCCTTTAAAATGCATAAAAATTTTTCCTAGAAAGGGTTCATAATTGTGTTACATGTTTTGATGGGTTTATGGTTTTTTTTTTTTTTTTTTTTTTTTTTTTTTTGTGTTGTTGCGTGTGTTTGATCATCTGCGTTTTGGTGGGCCGTGGTGTTGAAAACAAAATGCTATTTTTTTATAGCTTTTTTAATTTATTTTCATAGCTTTTTGTATGCTCCTCTTACAATTTGAGGTGTACTCTATTTCTTTGTCCTAATTTAAGGCACTGTATGTGCTTTTAATTGGGTTTTTAATAATGTTTTGCAATTAAAAAATTGAAAAATTATTTTAATAAATTATAAAATTTAATTGAAACATGAAAGAAACATAACATATTTATAGTACAAAAACAGTGTTGTTTAATGTCACTTACAAACTTGTCAACATTTTTTTTATAATTTTGGAAAACATGGTAATGATAAACTAAAATTACTTATTTTTGAAAATTAGGAGACTAAATTTATAATAAAAATATTTAAAAGATTAAAATTGTACATTCATAAAATTATAGGGACTAAAAGTGGATCTAAGCCTAATTACAATATTATAAAATTAATTATAATTTTGCATAATATATAAATTAATATTTTTGTTTGTTTTTTTTCTTTATATTAAAACGAATATTTAGGCACTAATTTTTAATTAAAAATATTCTTTATAGGAAAAGCGAGCCTTAGATGAATCTAGATCGAAATAAACTTCAAAAGTCGAAAAAAAGCTATAAGAGTTCAGGATAAAATTAATTTAAATTAAATTTACCATTTACGTGACCAAATACATTTTTCTTTAAAAATAAATTAATTTTATGAGAATATTTGATACATGAAATATTTTTACTCTTTTATAAATCTTAATTTTTCATATTTAATAATTATTTAAAAAATAAATTTTCAGGAATATAACTTTTAAGAACTATTTTTATTTCATTTTCTCATAAGAACATTCTAAAGACGAATATTAGTGTGTGTTTAGTTCAATTTAATTTAGAAAGTAATTGTGTATTTTACGAATTGTTTTTCAAAAAATTTGATTATTTCTCCAAAAAAAAATAATTTCAATTAAATATATACTCGTTAATATGTTTTAGTAAAACTTTTAAATTGCGTGCGTACATGTCTATTATTTTCCTTCTTTTATTTCTTTCTTATTTTGCTTTTACACCTCTAAATCAAATCTATTTCTCACATATTTTGTTTTCATATAGACTTATCTTTTTTTCTTTTCAACTTTATTTCTCACCAATTTCATTATTTTCTACCGACCAGAGTGCAAGCAACATTTTGGAAAAACCACCCTGTTGTTGCCTTTTTAACCAATATATCAGAGGAGAACTGAATCATTAGAATCTTATATTCAGCTCTTACTTTCAAGTGAGAGATTCATTGTGTTCTCTTTAATTATTACTCTATCTGATTCAACTATATATACAAAAAAAAAAAAAAAAAAGTTATGAACAGCAACCAAAATATAAATAATTCTTAACTAATCAATAGTATTATCTCTAATGCACCATTTAAAAGATACAATAACAGGATCTTCTTGTCAATTGCTAACAGCTAGGGATGACAAATATATCTGTACCCGCGGGTAATATTCGAATCTGTCCCAATTTTAACGGGAATACCTGGTTTGACCGGATACGGGTACGGGTACGGGTAAAACCCGATATATTAAATCGGGTACGGGTACGGGCACGAGTATGTACTTACCCGCCCCGTATCCGTATAGTTTGCGAACATTTGGCCGAGGACTGAAAACGGTTTTCTTAATTGGCCGAGGACCATTTGATATGTAAAATTTAATTTTTGATTCCTTCGACCGAGGACAAAACCATTTTCAACTTTCAATTGGACGAGGATTATTGTATATGAAACTTTTAGCTTTCAAACTTTCTGGCCGAGGACTAACAGTTTTTAGAAGTCCTCCTGGCCGAAGGGTCTTTAACATGTTCAAAATCTTTTATTCAAAGGTTATTAACTAAAATGTTGTAGTATACTAATCTTTGAAAGTTATGGATTGAGGATTTGAAAGTAATGTGTTTATACTAGTGGTAATTGGTCGAGGGGTTCTTCAAGCTAATTGGTCGAGATGTCCTTTTAAGATAAAGACCTTACTTAGGTCGAAGGGTTTTATATTTTCTTATTCGACTAAGTGTGTCCCCAGTTGAGGTTTTACGCACTCGACCAAGTGTGTGCTCGGTCGAGGTTTTTATGTTTTGGACCGAGTACATCCTCGACCGAGGTCTTGAATTATTTTACGCACTTGATCGAGTGTGTCCTCGGCCAAGGTCTTGATTTGTTTCACGCATTCGACCGAGTGTGTCCTCGACCGAGGCCTTGATTTGCTTTACCCACTCGACCAAGTGTGTCCTTGGTTGAGGCCTTGATTTGTTATACGCACTCGACCGAGTGTGTCCTCGGCCGAGGTTTTTATGCTTTCGACCGAGTGTGTCCTCAGCCGAGGTTTTGGGTTTTTCTTCAAGCTCGTTCGAGTAGGTTCTTGGCCGAGGTGTTGAGTTATTTTTCCTGCTCGACCGAGTAGGTTCTCAGTCGAGGTCTTGATTCATTTTTCACGCTCGACTGAGTGTGTCCTCGACCGAGGTCTTGAGTTGTTTTTTTTATGCTCGACCGAGGGTGTCCTCGGCCAAGGTCTTGATTCATTTTTCAAGCTCGACCGAGTGTGTCATCGGTCGAGGTCTTGATTCATTTTTCGCGCTCGAACGAGTGTGTCCTCGGTCGAGGTCTTGAGTTGTTTTTCACGCTCGACCGAGTGTGTCCTTGGCCGAGGTCTTGAGTTGTTTTTCATGCTCGACCGAGTGTGTCCTCGGCCGAGGTCTTGATTCATTTTTCAAGCTCGACCGAGTGTGTCCTCAGCTGAGGTTTTAATTCATTTTGTCAAGCTCGACCGAGTGTGTCCTCGGCCGAGGTCTTGATTCATTTTTTGCGCTCGACCGAGTGTGTCCTCGATCGAGGTCTTGAGTTATTTTTCACGCTCGACCGAGTGTGTCCTCAGTCGAGGTCTTGAGTTACTTTTTCACGCTCGACGGAGTGTGTCCTCGGTCGAGGTCTTGAGTTATTTTTCACACTCGACCGAGTGTGTCCTCGGCCGAGGTCTTGGGCGCTCGTTAAACCTGAAAATATTTCTTGTATTATTATTCACTAGGGTGTCTCGTTAAAAACATTGCTTAGCAAAAACCCTTTCACGTTCTTTTAGGGATAAAAAGCTAAGCAAGGAAAAGAGTACACCGAATTACAATGTTTTTCAACTGTAATACATTTTCAAATGTGTTGTAGTCCATGTTCTTGGCATTAACTTTCCATTTAATTCTTCTAGCTTGTATGCTCCATTTCGCATGTTTTGATTAATTTTGTATGGTCCATCTCAATTGGCCGAGATCTTTCCTTCCCTTAGATTCTTCCTTGCTTCCCAATTGGCATAGCCTCGGCTCTAGCTTGATTTCTTGATTCAGTTAATTCTTTCATTTGCATGTATTTTTCAGCCTTTCTCCTCAAGTTATTCATATCCAACGGAGGTTTTTTGCATAAACTATTTACAAAAGGTCTGGGTTTCAACGCTGTGTTTAACCTATCCATTGCGACACCTGGGTTTAGGTTTTTTATCTCCATTGCAATTTTGTTAAAACGATCCATAAATGACTTTAAGGATTCCTTCTTTTCCTGTCTGATGTTGGCCAACGCTAATGATGTCAGTTGGTAAGGTCTTCTTGTAGCAAATTGTATTGTAAATAAAGATGTTAGTTCTTCAAATGAATTTATGGAGCTGGGGGAAAGCTTAATGAACCAACTCAATGCTCGTCCTTTTAGTGAAGCGGGGAAGAGGCGACACAAAGTAGTGTCTTCTGTTGTCAGCAAGGTAACCCGTGTGTTAATTATAATTATAATATAATAAAAAAAATATTTTAAAAAATATTTTTTTTTACAAAAAATAAAAAATAAAAAATTTGACAGGTAAATGTACGAGTACGGGTATACTGATACCCGACGGGGACGGGAATGAGATAAAAATCTATACCCGACGGGTATGGAAACAGGGACGAGGATGAGTTTAACTCGCAGAGACAGAGACGGGTATCATGAAACCCGTACCCGACCCGCCCCGTTGCCATCCCTACTAACAGCTGACAACCATTGCAATCAAGCTTCAATCATCATTAATTCATTATACACATCTTTACCTCACCTGTCACACAAATATACCATTTTCTAAATGGACATTCTTACCAAGAGAGTTGGGTCAACACTGCAATTTTTATTATAGAAAAAAGGAAAAAGTTAGAATTAAAAAGTAAAATGTCAACATGAACCAAGTAAAGTTTTATTTATTTCCAATAAAAATATCCGCAACCGCAACCATAGTACTAAAATTAAATCCACCTCAGAAACAGAATCTTCTCCAATAAATATAGTGAAAATATTTAAAATACAGAGATATGTATTATTATTATTATTTTATAAGCATGCAAATTGCAAATTGCAAACTGTGTGTAACTCTTGCTTTGACATTGCTTTCGTATTCTTTTGACGAGCTTTTTGTGCCACTCTCTAGAAGAAAAACGATATAGCAGAGAAACTCGAATATTCATTCAAGAATTCCCTCGTATATATACGAGACGTAAACCACCGCCATAAAGACTCAACAACAACCTTCAAAAAAAAGAAGAAGAAAAAAAACTCAAATTCTCTCTCTACTATTATGCCACAGGTCGATTTGGAAACGCTCGTTTCAGCCTGCGCCGGAGCTTCCTCCGACCGGAAAGTCGCCTGCGAGCCTCCTCCCGACGACCATCCGGACTCGCCGCCGGCCTCCTTCTGGCTCTCCGGCGACGCCGAGTACGACTGGTGGGACCGCAACGCCGTCTACGAGCGAAACGAATCCACCAAAGGAAACTCAATTTCCTCCTCTGTAAACCCTAACTCCAACTCCAACTCCAACTCGCAGCGATTCTCGAAGAATCTGAAATCCAAAGCTGCGATAATCGGCTTGCCGAAGCCGCAGAAGACTTCCTTCGCCGACGCCAAGAGCCGCCGCTGCCACCGCCCGGGAAACGCCAGGCTCTTCCCCAAGCGGAGCGCGTCCGCCGGCGGAAAATCGGAATCCTCCGTCATCGAACCTTCCTCGCCGAAGGTCTCCTGCATAGGGAGAGTGAGATCGAAGCGCGACCGGAACCGGAGGCTGAGAAACCGCCAGCGATCCGTCTCCTCCACCGTAACCGCCGCCTCCGCCCCCGCCGCCTCCGCCGCCGCCGTCACGAGGCAAAAGTCGTCGCGCAGCCAGAGGAAGAAGACCGGCTTCTTCGAAAGCGTTCGCGCTATTTTCCGGTCCGGCCGAAGAGGAAAGCCGGTTCAGAAGGCCGATCTTCCGGCCGCGGACTCGTCGTCGAAGAAGAAAAGAAGTTCCGGCCAACAAGCGCGAGGAAGCGCGGCGAGCCGAAACGACGCGTCGTTCGAAGAACCGGTTTCGAGTGCGGCGCCCGGTTTGGGTGCCATGAACCGGTTCGCGTCCGGGAGAAGAACCGAGGCGTGGGGAGTTGGTGAATCCGAAATCCACGTGGCGCAATAGGATTCGTTTTGACGTGCCGTACAAATTATGTGACGGCGTCAGTGGGGCCCAACGTTTTGAATAGGTTTGGGAAGTGTGACGTGGCACGTTGAATAACGGCTATTGGTGGCTATATGTAACTGTAGTACTCTAGTGTATGTAGGTTGATAAACGTAGTTTTCTTTTGAAGCGTGGTGAAGTTTGGTGCCCCCTTTTTTTTTGTCTCTTTCTGTTTCCGCCATAACGACACCGTTTTGTAAATACCATTCATGTGAATGTGATGTACTGCTTTAGTCCTTTCAGGCTTCAGCAGCCGCTGATTTTGTCACTACTTTCTTTTTCCTTTTATTAAATTTAAATCTTATAAGAAAGAAGACCCATTATAAGGGAAAAAAAAAGAGTAAACACACGCTACACAAGGAATTTAATATGTAATCGGATGACTCATTTAATACCTTATTAATTGATTTGACTAAAAGAAAGCTATGCTCTCATGTTTATTAATGAAAAGATTCGTTTTTCATTAAATTTCTTATCAATATTTAAGTTTTTATTGAAAATTTTAAAAGAATTTAATTTCCAATGCGTGGTGAGTATTCTAATTTTTATATTCTAAGTCAAAACTCATTTATATATATATATATTTTTTTAAATCATTATAAAAGTAAATAAAATTAAGAACCGAAGATTGAGTTTTATTCAATAAGTATAACATTTATATTTCACAATAACGTGTACTAGAATTTTGTTGAAGTTTAATATGTGGATTAATTTTTTAATTTTTTTTTCAATTTTTAGTTTTAGTTTTTAAAACAAGTTTTATTAGTTTCAGTCTTTGATGAAATTTTTTGTATGAACACAAATTTTTATGTTAGGAACCAATGTATTAGTGAAAGCAAAAATTAAAAGACTAAAAGTGAAAATTAACAAAAAATTTAGAAATTAAAATTGATAAAAAATAAAAAGAATTATTCAGTGACTAAAAATAAAAATTAACAAAAAATTGAAAGATTACATATATATCACCACCTACATTTTTAAGAATAAATAAAATGAATATAGTTAAAAATATAAAACAAGCTTTTCATGGAAAATTAGGTTAATGTAAATATCAATTTTTATATATTAAACACAAATCTTTATTTTATATAAGAATGATTTTAAGAAACTTTTTTTTAATAAAAGGATTCATAGGATTTTTTAAAATTTTTTTTATCTAATTCGATTACTATTTATTATAATTATTCTTGAATAAAATTATTTGTCATAAATCTAAAATATTATTTATATATTTTAAAATATTTATTTAATATTTATATAAATTTTATATATAATTTATATATTTAAACATAATATTTATTTATATTTAATTTATTGTAAATTTTAATTATATATAATAAACATATTTGTGTATTACACGAACTAAAATGTTATTTATGAAAAAATCTCATACTTACTCTCATATTCGTAGTATTCTTTAAAGAATTCATGACTATTTATTATGCCATCAATTATATCGTGAAATGTAAGAATTTTGTGACAATCAATTTAATTTTTTTAATGATTAATTCACTAAAAGATCCTAATAGTAAAAATTTGGTTGATGAGTTTTTTTTTTTTTAAAATTAAATATGAA